TATACATTTAATTAGAGTAACAAACCAAACTTCCTTATCTAGTTTTCAGAGTTAAGGATAACAAGCTTTTTTTCTCCTCTTCTCCTGTGAAGAGTTTTGTTTTTCTTTAAATACATTTTTATTGATTATTTCTTCTTCTTCTTCTTCTTCTTCTTCTTCTTCTTCTTCTTCTTCTTCCTCCTCCTCCTCCTCCTCCTCCTCCTCTTCCTCTTCCTCTTCCTCCTCTTCTTCTTCCTCCTCCTCCTCCTCCTCTCCTCTCCTTCCTTCCTTCCTTCCTTCCTTCCTTCCTTCCTTCCTTCCTTCCTTCCTCCCCCCCTTCCTCCCCCCTTTCTTCCCCCCTTCCTCCCCCCCTTCCTCCCTTCCTTCCTTCCTTCCTTCCTTCCTTCCTTCCTTCCTTCCTTCCTTCCTTCCTTCCTTCCTTCCTTCCAAAATAAGGGGGGCGGGGAGAGAAACAACTCTCAGCCACCTCCGCAAGCCCCTCACTGGGGATCAAGTCCGCAACCCAGGCATGTGCCCTGACCAGGAATTGAACTGAGACCTTCTCAGACCATGGGACAGCGTTCAGTCCACTGAGCCACACTAGCTGGACAGAAGGTTTGATGTATATATCAAATCTGACTTTTCCGTTCTAGCTCAGAGTCATTTCTCACAATTTATTTACTAAATGATGTTCAGCAGATTGGGTCTTCCAAACTAGGTGCCAAAATTATTTTGTTTTTATCTAATATATATAAGGCTATCATCTAGTGCAACCATTTGAACTTTAAAATTTTTCTTTAAAACTCTCTACAAAATAATATCTGTATGAAGTTATTGATTGCAACATTGTGATAAAAAAACGATTAGCAACAAGTAATCAATGTGGGTACTGATTAAATAGTACATTCAGCCCAGCCAGTGTGGCTCAGCAGTTGAGTGTTGACCCATGCACCAAGAGGTCGCCCGTTGATTCCTGGTCAGGGCACATACTGGCGTTGTGGGCCAAGTCCCCAGTGGGGGGCATGCAGGAGGTGGCCAATTGATGTTCTCTCTCATCAATGTTTATCTCTCTCTCTCTCTCTCTCTCTCCCCCTCTCTAAAATCAATAAAAGTAAAAAAATTTTTTTTAAATTTTATTTTTTTCAATTTTTATTTTTGTTACAGATGTTTCTCCCTCCCCCCCAGACCCCCCTCCTTCCCATCCTGCCCCCCCCCCCAGCATTGAAAACAATTTTTTTAAAATACTACATTCAAACATTGTACAGTAGTTACAAGAATAGATTTCTTAGTGTGGTTTGAGGACCTCTGAGGGTCCCTGAAATCCCTTCAGGGGGTTTTCAATACTGTTTTTCTAATACTCCTAAGATGTTATCTGTCCTTTCACTCTGTTAGTATTTGCTCTTAGGGTACAAAAGCAACACTGAGTGGAAGTGCTGGTGTCTGAGCATGAGTCTTCATGTCCACACACTCACAGTAGGAAACAAGCAGGAACAAGCCGGCTTCACTCAGGAGTGTCCTAGATGAAGCAGTGGAAGTTATTATTTAATTGTGACTTTGAGTATACTTTAAAAAATACCCTGTGTGATCAAATGGGAAGCTGCTTACCAAAGTACAATGATTGTTCTGAGAAAAAGCCTTTGCGTACTTATATGAGTTTTAAACTAAACTAGCTGCCTCCCTCCCTCCCCATAAACACTATTTTTATTTAAAAGAATGACTAGCTGACATACTGTGGTTATTTAGACTTTGGTATTTGACAGACATTTTTCTCAAAAATGAATAAAGAAAGTCTGTCACTTCAAGAAAACAACGGACAGTATTTGTTGTCAATGATAAAATTTGAGTTTTGAAGTGAAAATTTGAATTTTGGAAAACCAATGTCTACCAGCATGACCTTCATCGATTTCAGTGCCTACAAAGACTCTTCTGATTAAATAGGTGGTGATACTAACAAATGCAATTTTGGGGATGTTGTATAGTGAAATATGTCAGTATTTGGAGATCTGGATAACTGAGTAAGTAAGTATTTTCCAAATGACTAATCCATGATGTTATAAAATGTATGTGTAAAAGATCCATTCAAAGTAGAAGATAGACCAATGGATTTTAATGGCTGGAGAACAAAGAATTCATCAATAGCTTCTGATTTCATATTGCAGCTAATCTTTAAGAAACTGCCACTTGTCAAGTTTCAAAGAATGTCTATAATTGTCTGAAAAGGCTATTAAAATACATCTTCTTTTTCTGTCTGTATATCTTTGTGAAGGTAGATTTTCTTCATTTACTTCTACCAAAACAACACATCGCTCCTGATTCAGTACAGAAGCCGATGTGAGGATCCAGCTATCTTCTTAGGCCAGATTCTAAAGGGACTTGCAAAAATCTGAAAGCAATACCTCTCTTCTAATTTTTTTTGTTTGGAAATAGTTATTTATACTTAAAATATATACCTGTATTTTGACATTAAAATATGTTAAAATGGGATGTTTGTCATTTTGGAATGAATTTATATTTTTAAACCCAGTTTTAATTTTTAATATGGTAAATATTGACATACAACATGCTCATTATAAACAAAAGCTTTTTGGAATATTTGATTATTTTTAAGAGTGTAAAGGGTTCCTGAGACCAAAATATGTGAGAACCACTAGAATAAAAAACTGTTTCCAAGATACATTTTTAGAACAATTACAGATCAGTGTGATTGTATGTTAGTGTTTATGTGGAAAAGGGATACTTATTTTTTATGTATATGGGAAATTCTTCTGGAAGGATATAAAGGAATTAAGTGTTATATCAGCGAGGAAGGAGTGAAAGGTAAACTCTTTAAACTCTTTTGAAATCATTTGAAGTTTAAACCAGATGAATACATTACTTATTTAAAAAAAACTATGAGAAATGAAAACATCCCTTCTACCAGCCATGCTGTTAATTTCAGGGAATCTAGGTCTGTTGTGAAAAGTTGGAGCAAGTTTGGAGTAACAGTTATTTTTCTGGCAGCTGATGTTTTCTTGTTTGAGAAGAAAATGAAGCTTGCTTTCAGGGGTAAAAATTTCACTTAATGTCTAAGCCAAATATGCTCATGTTGAAATAATGTAAATCAAATAGGTAGTAATTTGCCTAGTGGGGCCCAAAGTATACTGAATTTAAGTTTTAAGGATGAACAATTTGATTAGTTTTTAAAAATAGTTTTTTCTAGGTTCCTAGTAAAGAGATTGGATTTATTTTAGAAGATTGTTATAATTTATAGTCCTGTCATTTAAAAGGTTTTGAATAAGTACTGCATGAAATGTGGAAGTAAAAAGCTAAGTAAATGTTCTGACATTTGATTCAGTACAAAAAGTACCTTTTATTACTCATAACCTTTGAGGCTTTGGGAATTCTTGAAAAGAATAGCTAAGGAATTCAATTTTATTTATTCTGCCTGCTATTAAGTATGCCTTTTGATCAGTGTTCATACTTTTAACTTTGAGATAAAGTGTGCTTTCATGAAAAGGGAAAATTATTTTAATGCAAAAACTCTTCAGATTTTTTTATATAATACTTCTAAAATTTATTTCTTTGAAAACTGATATATTATTTCCAGAGTTCTTTGAAGCACTTTAGAGAAAGATATTATGTGTTTCTGTCCATCAGTTATAATTAAAGTTTGCCCATAATATGGAACCATTTCTCCCAGTTTCTTTAGTTAATAAGGAATGCTTTTAATAATGTTAATGGATTTTTATGAAGTATTAAAACAAATGGGTAGTTAATTCAGAAAGTTTACTTACTAGTTGCATATGCATATATAATATTTGACATTTTTCAAAAACCTTTACACATTTTCTTTGAGCCTAAGCACATCTTAGGAATAGCACAGTTAGTATTTTTCCTATTTTATATGTACGGAAATTGAAATTCAGCTGACTAAATGAATTGCGTAACGGCATACAACCTTATATAGTAAACTAATTTAGATTTAAACAAGGTTAGGTTAGCCCTGACTGGTGTTACTCAGCGGAGCGTCGGCCCGGGGACCAAAGAGTTCTGGGTTTGATTCTGGTCAAGGGCATGCATGTACCTCGGTTGTAGTTTGATCCCTGGCCCTGGTCAGCGTCATGCAGGAGGCAGCCAATCTCTCCTCCTTGCTCCTCAACCACTCTATCTGGAGATAGATGGAAAAAATATCCTTGGGTGAGGATAAAAAAAAAAAAATGAGGTAGGTTAGATTGAGATTTCAACAAATTTAGAATTAAGTAAGGCTCTGTCCTTGCAAGACATGCCTTTATGTGTATCTACTATGTTCCAGGCTCTTTGGTCAGCACTGGAGATGTAAAGATAAGAGATCTTGAAGTTTAGTGGCAGAGACCACTCAGTGGGAGAATAAGTGTGATGGTACCCAGTTGAAGGGCCAGATATCCCAGATATTTATGAGGAAGTGATGAATCTTGAAGAATAAATAGAAGTTAGCCAGGTGAATCTGGTTAGGGGGTGGTGTTAAAGACGTTCAGGTAGAAAATAAGGTCAAGGGAGCTTTGGTAACAGCTAGCAGTTTCATGTTTGCCATGCTGGGCCGCACATGAGAAGGAATAGGATATGAATGCAAAGAGGTAAACGGTGTGCCCTAAATTGGAAATTTGAACTTTTTTCTAAAGGTTTTAGGGTGCTAAAAAAAAAAAAAAAAGGAATGTAAGTAGATGAAAGGACTCAGATTGACCAGAATTTGAGGCTTAGTTCTTGTACTTCTTAGCTGTGGGTATGTAGTCAAGTGACTAAATATTTTGAGCCCCAATGCTTCATATGCAAAGTGGTAATAATATTCAATTTGCAGGCAGTTAGGAGGACTAAGAAAAATAACTGTTAAAAAAGCACTAGTGTGCACCAAACATGTAGTATTCAATAATAGAAGCTGAATTAGAAGTAAGGAGAGGTCACTATATGTATTCTAAGTGTAAGAAGGGCCATTTGCATTTTAGATTGTGACAGAAGGTCTTTAACCTGGTTTCCCAGAATGATCACGTTTATGTTCTTTCTCACAGGCCAGCCCTCCGGATCTCTATATTGAAAGATTTAATATAGCTCTTGGACAATATATGGGAGCATTGCAGAGCATTGTGCCTCTTTTCATATATATGGTAAGTTAGAGCTTGGTTTATTGGTCTAAGCATCAAGAGCAAAGAATGTTCTGTTTTTCTTTTACTATGTATTATGGTAGAAATGGAAATTAATATATTTTAGAAATGTTTGATAGTGTTGACATAGAAGAAGAATTTGCTCTTTTTCTGTTTTAAATCATTTTTATTTATTTATTTATTTATTTATTTATTTATTTATTTATTTATTTTTTATCCTCACCCGAGGACATTTTTCCATTTTTTGTTCAGGTAGAGTGGGAGGGAGAGAGAGAAACATCGATGTGAAAGGAACACATCGAGTGGCTGCCACCCGCACAACCGACCAGGGCCGGGGACAAACTGCAACCGAAGTACATGCCCTTAGCAGAAACCGAACCCGGGTCTCTCAGGACCGCAGGCCGACGCTCTAACCACTGAACCAAACTGGCCAGGGCTGCTCTTTTTCTGTTTTAAAATTCCATAAATAACATTGCTATATAGACAGTTAGGCATTAATATCAGCCATCACCCAGTCAGCATTTATTTCTGCTATATGGAAAATAATTGTGCTTGAGAAATAAAGATGTATAAGAAAGATTTCTATTCCTCAGAAAAAAGACAATTAAGCCATATCTAAAAACATGAAGTATGATAAATGCCAAGGAAGTCATTCTTTAAATAAAATAGAATAAAATTTGCTTCCAGGGGGTCAGTGGGGAAAAAAAGGGGGGACATCTATAATACTTTTAACAATTAAAAACATTTTTATTTGCTTCCATCCTGATAATCTCTTTTGTTTGGAGAATTATGCCTTGAGTATAATTTGTAGTCTGTTGACTTTGTTCACTAGTCCCTCTCCACTTTAAATATATAAAGTCGTAGAATCTTAATGTTAGTGTTCCTGTTGAATGGAGGGGCTCATTATTCCAATGGAGTAAAATCAATATCCCATTTCCTCTTTGTTTATTATATTAGGGGATGGGATGTTAAGTTGATCCTATATTCTATAGCATAGAGATTGCTGTATGTTTTATACCAATCTTTAACATTATTTATTTATTCTCCATAAGATATACTTTACTGAAAAAAAAAACTAGAAAAGAAACAAAACCGAACACTGGGAAAAATTCCTGTGATCAGCAGGAGCCATTATTTAAGTAATGTATGGAAGATACTTACAGTTGAAAAATATGCAGTTAAAAATAATGACATGTCTATGTTATTTTAGAGAAAAATCTTCCCCAAGAGACATTAGGTGAAAAAGTAAGATATAAAGCAGTATGTAACATTTTTCCATTAGCAAGTGTTTTCCTTAAATTTATTTGTGTTTTCTTCTTTATTAGGGAAAAAAGCATATCCACATATATACAAGCAACGTTTTAGAAAGAATATACGGAAGTTTTCCCAGTGTAGAATGGGACCTTTGGGATGAGGGTCTTCTGTGGGACAGTTCTGTTCATTGTATAGCCTTAGCATGGTTTTAATTTCTAACCATGTGCCTGTTATTTTTATAATTTTTTTAAAGGGGGGGGGGATTTGTGTTAAGAATTGAGAGAATCAGCAGCTTGTTAACATTCCTCTTTGCATGTTCCATTGACTTTAAACATGAACATTATACATTGAGTTTAACACTTAGACATGAACAAATTCAGTCTTTTTTGACTTGCCATCATTCTAATCAGGATGCTTCTGGCAGCCAGAAACAGAAAACCTGATTTAAAGTGATTTAAGTAAATAAGGGAAAGAATTAGCTCTTGTAATAAAATCTGGGTATTAGGCTATCTCCAGGTTAGATGAATCTGTAGTTTAACTGGTTTAAGAGTGTCACCAAGGACTCAGGTTCTTTTTTGTCTCTTTGCTGTATACAACATCTGTTTCATCTTGTTCTCCTCACAGTGGTAAGATGACTGTAAGATACTTTTCACTCATGCCTAGGTTTCTCTCAGTCTTACTGTGCTACTTGGGTCACATGTCTGCCTTTGAACCAGAGACTATCTCTAAGGAATGCCATAAGCTGAATGACTTAGACTAAGCATTGAAGTGGAAGTATGTTGGGAAGTCAGCAAGTGCATGTTTGCTACCTGTTTTCAGCCTAGATCACTGATAAATAGGGACCGTTCATTAGTGATTCCCAGTGTTGCCTTTGGATGATCAAGTATTTTTAAAGGGCATATCAAGTGCCCATCACACAGTGTGTTGTGTCTGTACATCATCCCAGTCTAGGTCATGTCAGTATCTCCCCATGTTCTTTTGGTGGTGTATGGTTCATAGCATTTTTATGTACTTTTATAACCCCATGCCAGAAAGGCATAAATAGGGCAGGGTTTTCTTTTGTTGTTTGATGTTAGGTTTTTATGTTTTGATTGATGCTTTTATGAGTTGTTTCCTAAAATAATTTATTTTTTAGTATTTTAGTTTTAGACTCATCATTTCCCCTAATAGAGGCACTGAAAAATAATTTGGTTTTCCTTTTCAGAATAAATTTTACATCGAAACGAAGCTTAACAGAGACTTAAAAGATGACCTTATAAAGCTGTTTACGGAACACGTTGCAGAAAAGCACATTTACAGCCTAATGCGTAAGTGATTCAGCTTACAGGGGTGCACATTAACAATGATATACATCCCTGTTTATCAGGGAGCACTAGCACATAAACCCCAATGTTGACATCCTCTGAACCATACAGCAGAAAGTGTTGAAGCCCAGTTCTATAGAGAGAGGTATGAAGAATTGAAAATGTGACGTGAAGGTCACCCAGTGAGCTGGGAGCTGCTTACCCACATAACTGGACCGTGCCTTCGTATCTGGCCTGATACTTGCTGCCTTTTCCCCCTTCTGACAATGGGAAGAATAGTATTAGGAGTTCGCTCCTAACTTTGTTATTGGTAACTGTGTAAGGAGTTCAGTGTGATGTCTTTGAAGTGGTAGCACAGAATCCTCTCTGATTTTTACTCTTTATTGCAAAATCCCTCTCATTTGGCTCTGTCATTTATTAACTGTGTCTTAGACAAGCTTCTTAGCTTCTGGTCCTGTGTTTTCTCTTTTGTGAATTGGGATTGTGAAATGTTTAATGTGGTTATGTAGAGTATTAAGGAATCAGAGCACAGTGCCAAGTTCAGTTAGTTTTTTTTTCTCCCTACTCCCGGGTCCCCTGCCTCCTCACAGTAGGTGGCATCTTATCATACTTTTCCTAAAAGAATATACCTCTCCAAGTGGATTTTGAGAATCTCCTACAATCTAATGTGTCATCATTCTTTAAAAACTCATATATTATGCAGTATATCATCAAGTCATGTTTTAGAATTTGGCACATTCTAGATTTGTAGTATTTTTAACTTTCCTAATAGTCATAGTTTCTACCACTCTGAACTTTTACTGTAATTTACAAGAGAATTGTTGTAATCTTGACCATAAACTCTTTCATTTTTTAGTGTAAATGACAAGAAGGAATATGAATTGTTGGGCCAGTTTATTTTAGAAAGGCAAGGTTTTCAAGTAATATTGTAGGTGAAGATAATGTATTTCATTATGTTCTCAAGAGATTCCAGAATCATAATTCAGATCTAGAGTCTTGGGAATTTGGCCTTTTTAAAAAACAGACTGTCCAGACGTTTACAGATATCTTTGAATGGTATCTCATAAGATATTCCAACTATTAATTATAACCACTTAAGTATTATCTCTGATGTTGACATTGTCTTTGTTTTATTGTAAAATAAAACACAGCATTTTGGAGTTTTTCCTGTTAAAATTCTTTAGACTAGTGCTGTCATTTGGTAGAAAATTTTATTTACCAAGTAAATATGTTTTTATATTTGTCAGTAATTTGGACATCAATTTTATTGGGCATATGCAAAGAGAATATTCAAAGAGAGTATGGTAATCCAGATCTGGTGAGAGAAAACAGATTACTTCCTTTTGTTTATTATACACATAAAAATTTACACTTAAAGGTGAATATGCCTTTTGTTCCCCAAGTAAACTGAAAAGGCCCTTAAGCTCTTGTAAATTGAATAGAACAGCTCATCAGATATTTATTGAGCAGTTACCAGGCATTGTCCTTAGAGTAAGGGATACAAAGAGTGACCACTGGCCTCATTGGTTTGGACTCTGTAACAATAAGAGACTCTGAGTATTTAATAATATTCTATGCATGGCCATCAAAGAGTTTTTAAACCACACACACACACACACACACACACACACACATACATACACACCTTACTATATAGTCTAGGACCTGTTCTAGATACTTTACAAATATAACTTATTTATTTCTCATAAATCTAAGGTAGGTATGTATGGTCATTATCTCTCATTTTACAGATGGGAAAACTGAGGCACAGAGAAACTGAATTTATTTTAAATTAGGAAAATACAGCTATTAAGGATTGATTTCTTGTCTGTAGCACATTTTCCTATACTCACCCCACACTCTACCAAAACATATAACTATATTCAATTTCTATAATTTTCTAAAATCTGATTAGTAATTTCCTTAATATAACTTCAGATACATTTGGAAGTGCTAGTATTTCACTTGTTATTGCTGTGTAACAAATCACTCCAAAACATAGTGTCTTAAAACTACCCTATTTTATTTTGCTCAGAGATCTGCAGTTTGGGCAGGGCTTGGTGGGCATGGGCAGGGCTTGGTGGGCAGTTTATCTCCGTACCTCTCAGCACTCACTGGCTGATGTGACTCCATCAGGGGCTGGGACTTTTAAGATGACTCACTTCTGTGACTGGCAAGTTGTACTGGCTTTCTGTTCCCTTTTATGTTTCCTCTAAGAATGAGTGTCCCAAGATACAGGAAATGGAAACTGCCATTTTCTTAAGTCCTGGGCCCAAAAGCTGGTACAGTGTCATTTTTGCTGTTTTCTGTTGGGCACACAGTTACAGAGCCCAGATTCCAGGGGAGTAGACATGGACACACCTCTCGATGGGCGGCATGCCAGAAGAATTTGGGAGCTATGTTTGAAAACCAATACAGCAGGACAAAAGGAGCACCCATTCTGCTAATAAACAATTGCTACTCGAATGTCCCATATTAGCAATTGTTTCATGAATGAAGATAGTGACTTCTCACTGCATATAAAGCTAGTTTTCTGTCATCTTTATATGGTCTAATCATTTCCATACATATATGCTTATAAAATAAAATGGCTTCCACTTTTGGCTGATAGTAAAAATTCCTTTGAAAATAAGTTTTACTTTGCATTATACTTTGAACACAGCAGAAATACTTGAATAATCATTAATCAAGAGTATCTCTGTAGTATTGTATAGATTCTAAGCAAATGCAACAAAATGAGTCATTTAATGGTAAAAGTTTCCTGAGAAAACTTACATGTTGAATTGCAGTAGATTTATAATTCAGTGTGCATGGAAAGTTTTAAATAATTACATTTCAGTTATTATCCTTAGGTTCTGCCTTTTACTTCAGATACTTATAATTTGAATATTTTTAAAGTTGAGGATTTTTAGTTTTAAGAATTACTTCTCAAGTAAACAAAGGACAGAAGCCCCTGAGCAAGCTTGTATCTCTGAGGAGTAACTGAAGGAGCAGAGGAGCTTAGTTCTGGTCCCAGGCCAGCTATTAAAAAGCCATGTGACTTTTCAGAAGGGCATTTAACCTCTCTAGACTTTAATGTCATAGTCTGTAAAGAAAAAGGTTAATGCTAGAAGTTCTCCAAGGTCCTATTCTAGTTCAAAAGTATTTACTTAGTGCCCTAGCCAGTGTTTGATTCCTGGTAAGGGCACATACCCAGGTTGCGGGTTTGGTTCCACTTTGGGGCTTGTGTGGGAGCAACTGATGGATGTTTCTCTCACGTCTTTGTCTGTCTGTCTCTCTCTGTCCCCCCCCCCCTTCTTCTCTCTCTAAAAAAATAAATGAAACTGTTTGCTTACTGACAACAATCAGTGGGATTGTTGGAGAATCCTTGCTTTTAAAAAAAATTATATGCTTTTTGAAAGAAAACTGTTACTAATAGCAACAGTCTATTACTACCACTTCACATATAAGATGTGCATGTCAGTGGAGGCGTGGTAACTAGAAGTTATACAGAATTTAGAGTGGAACACATATTCTTGGGCCTCTTCTGTAACCTGCAACTCTGTGACTTTGGATGAATTATTCAGTGTTTTTTATTTTGTTTTGTGTTTAGCCTCAGTTTCCTTATCTGTAAAAAAGAAAAGTAGAGAATTAAGCTTGTGAGAGTAAATTATAAATTAAAGATTTTGAGAATTAAACATGTAAATACCTAGCAATTGTTAAATACTCAATACATATTTTTTTTTCTCTTTCAAGCTACTGCATCCCTAAGGTCCCAGTTCTTGTTCCTGAAAAGGGGAGATCAACTACAAACTCTTTCAAACACCGTTTTCCTAAAGAGTTTATTTAAATGGAGAGGATTTTAGTGAAATGTTACATAGTGAAATGTTGCATCTTCTCACCTCTAATAATCTTTTGTTACTGAATGTAATTATTTTAAATTAATTTAGCCCAAATAAATGTACATACGTTTTATGTATAATTTAATCTGAATTAATTATTTCTTCATAGCTATAAAATCCTGGCATAGGTGGTTTTTTGTTTTTTTTTTATCTTCACCCGAGGACACTTTTCCATTTTTTGTTCAGGTAGAGTGGGGGTTAGAGAGACGAAGAGAGAGAGAGTGAGAGAGAGAAACATCAACATGAAAAGAACATATTGAGTGGCTGCCACCTGCACCACCAACCAGGGCCTGGGACAAACTGCAACCGAGGTACGCGCCCCTAGCGGGAACCGAACCTGCGTGTCTCTAGACCGCAGGCCGACTCTAACCCCTGAGCCAAACTGGCCACGGCTAGGTGGTTTTGACATAATTATGTAAGGGTTGTTTGTAAATGTATATATTTGGCCACATAATGAATGTATAGTTGAACATGAAGAGTGGCTGGGAATAAGATTTATTTAAAATTTTTTATTTTCTAATTATAGTTGACATTCAATATTATATTAGTTTCATGTATACTGCATAGTGGTTAGACATTAACATAACTTACCAAGTGATCTCCCTGATAAGTCTAGTACCTACTTGACACCATATGTAGTTATTAATTAATATTATTGACTATCTCCCCTATGGTGTACTGTAAATCCCTGTGACTGTTTTGTAACTGCCAATCTGTACTTCATAATTTCTAACTGCCAATCTGTACTTCATAATTTCTTCCCTCTTTTCACCCTGTTTCCCCCAACCACCCTCCCATCTGGCAACCATCAGTTGGAACAAGACTTATTGAAGGTCAAAAATAGGAAGATAGATTAATAGATAGAGCATGGGTTTTAGATACATGTTGAAATTAGAACCTTGAGTTAGAAGAGACTCTTTTAGAACCTAAAATTTAGAGTTTTGATTTTACACATCATATTTTAAAAACATTTTCTGTAGTGCTTAATGTCTCCTCAAAATTTATCTATGCCATTCAAAATTATACTGATAAATCATACTATCTACTGATAGAATTCAAAGGATAAACTTGACCAATGCACCTTTGGCCTTCATATAAATTCAAATGTAACTCACATTGTATGTAAAGTCATTGTTGGCCAAGTGAAATGGTGTTTTCATTTTTAAAAAGGCATGGACAGAAGAAAACAGCTTGTCTAGTTTTACAAGCTTGGCATACAGTAAAATTATGCCAAGTTTTATGGCGTATTTTGATTAGTAAATTAGGTCTTTGAGATAAATTATTAAATAAATGATTATTTTTGAGTCAATAGTATCTGTTGTATCTACTGAATAATGAAAAGAAAACTGACACTGTCGTCACGTTCCGTGAGGGTCCTGTGGTTACCAGAGTAATGAAAGTGAGAGGGATGAGCGAGCGCGATCTCTCTTGCCATTACCTTTAGTAAGAAAAAAAGTACATGCAGCTGTCGCATCAGAAAGTCAGTCTGGCCAGGTTGGCTTGGCTTAGTGGATTGAGCATCATCCCATGGACTGAGAAGTCCCCATTTAATTCCCAATCAGGGCACATGCCCGAGTTGCAGACTCCATCCATCCCCAGTAGGGAGAGTGCAGGAGGTAGCAAATCAGTTTCTCTCTCTCTCCCTTCCTTTCTCTCTAAAATATCAATTAAAAAAAATTTTTTTTTAAAAAGAAAGTCAGTTTGACTTTGATTGCAATTACTAAAATTGCCAATAACATGTCTTTCAGAAAAATTCCAAGAGCCTCAGATGTGGTGATTTGGGGGAAAGAGAAGTGACTGAATTAGAGAACATTTTATCCCCCAAGTGTAAATCTTTTGAATAATGAACATAATGGAAAAGCACTTTTAGTTTACTCACTAAGTACTATGAATACCATTGCTTTTAGAATGCTTTACCTGTTTTCAGAACTTCCATGAATTGAGTCATTTCCATTAGTAGTTCAATGGACCTGCACATATTTGCTTGTTAGATTGCACTCTTTGTTGCATTGGATTTAACAACAATCTTCATTGTATAAACTCTTGGTTTGTCCTTTTGGGCCGTTCTTTTCTTGTACTTGTTTACCCTTCCGAAATCTTTGGGAGAAATAGTGATAGAAAGAGAAACATTGACAGTAAATGTTACATCATTTTTATATCCCATTTTTTCTTCTTATTTCAGCTTTACTTTTAGAAGCCCAGTCAACACCATTTCAGGTCACACCTTCAACTATGGCAAATATTGTGAAAGGCCTGTATACTCTCAGACCAGGTAAACTCATACATCATTTCTTTTGGGGTTGGATGTGTTTGTTTACGGGTAGTTCCAGCCCTATCCAAGAGGACAGTGTTTCTCTGTGTGTTTTCTGAGGCCTAATGGTATTTGGATTTGTTATGGCAAAAAAAAGTTGAGTGGATATTCATCATTGTGAAATGTAAATTTAGGACTCAGTTGGAATTCTCTCTGTTCTAGTGAAAATCAACTTGTTTAGGAAATATAAGAAATAGTTTATAGGAGACACTTTTGATAAAATTGACTCTCTTGTCTGGCATTAATCTTTGTCTTTTTTGTTGTGGAGTGTCACTTCACTTCTGCCCCACACTGCAGTTAGGCTTAGGCATCCACTCACCACTCCATCTTCTCAGGCCTGTCATGTGACCTGCAAGTAATCCATAGCAGGTCTTAGAATGTACCCCTCAGTAAACAGGGACTGCTTTAATTACCTTTTTGTGAAATTCTTTTGTCAGTTGAGGATTTAATAAAATACCCGATCTAAATTGCTTAACACGAAGTACCTGATACTATAATAAGCATACTAACATTAACTGTTATTACTATCCATGTGGGTCCAATGGGTATTTTATTTTAATTGGTGGCTTGATTATTTAATTTAAAAGGTATCTCAGAATTTAGCTTGTTAAAAATGGAAACTTGGTGAAATCTGTGTACTTAGGGGTAGAGTATGATGTCAAATACTTCTTTTCAGGCTACTTTAAATAATTAGCGACTTCTACAGTATTCAAATTTAATGTTACTTAAATTTGATTGGGTCTTGCTCTATTCTTCATACTTTTTAAACAAATTGTATGTATAATTACTTATGTAAAGTAGCAAAAATATTTTATTTCATGTGTCCAATAAACTTTTTCTTTTTGTTGCTTAGAACTTTAAATTTCATTTTACTCAATGTGATGAAATGGTTCATGGATTTTTCTTTTAGTGCTAGGTTATGAGTGGTTTATTTTATTTTATTTTGGAAGGCAGCCAAGTGCAGTTGACAAATTTGTAAATTCTGCTTCCCAAGTAGGCAGCTTTAGCATAAAAGCTCTGGCTTTTATCATGAGTAATAAATTTCATTTTTTACTTTAATTTATTATTATTATTTTTAAATCCTCACCTGAGGATATTTTTCCATTTATCTTCAGATAGAGTGTGTGCATGTGTGTGGGGGAGATATCAATGTGACCCTGACCAAGGCCGGGGACCAAACTATAACCGAGGTACATGCCCTTGACCGGAATCAAATCCACAACACTTTGGTCTGAAGGCCGACACTCTAACGGCTGAGCCAAATTGGTCAGGGCTCATGAGTAACACATTTGAGAATAAAAGTAATCACTAAGGGTAGAAATATTCATAGATACTTGTTCATTTAAATGCTATTCTGTCTAAGTTTGAGCTCTTATAATAGAATTCAAACTATTTGTGAGGAGAATTCTGTTTTTGACAATTGTCCTTTTGAAAAGGTGAATTTTATCACAGACTAACCTTTTGTAACCATAGGCATTTTCTGAGATACTATTAAACATATTTTGACATTTACATGTCTTGCCCATTGTGTTCCTGGTTTATTAAAGCAGTTTTATTCACCTGACAGATTAAGGTTAAACTATTTTAAAAGTTGAAATTTAAATGTAAAAGTTTCCTCTATTGTGGTTTTCACGTGTTGATCTTTATATAATGAATGCAACTGAATCAACCAGGCTGGTTTTCTAAACTCTAGATTCCTGGGTCCTGATCTTTGGAGATTCTGATGACTATTATCATTTTAGGTGTGTTTTCATTTGGTCTTTTGAAGCTCAGCTTAAAAATTGTAGCCATTCTATCCTACCCTTCTTCATTTAACACACACACTTTTTTTTTGTTTCTTCATCTTTATTTTAATGACTGCCTAGAGTTTTATAAAATGGCAGGTCTTTTTGACTCCTACCAGCTCACACTGATTGGTTAGTGGTTCCCAGAGCACTGTATTGAGACTCTTTCTAAACCATATTTGAGCTGAACTAGACAGGAACATGATTGAGAACATTTTACCAAGAGTTTGTACAAGGGGTGAGTGGATTGGCTCTTCTGTCATTTGCAGTCCTTATTTATTTGTTATTCGTTTTTTGTTTTCTTTTGCCATCTCTAACTTAGCTATTCTCCTGTTAAACTTTTTTTTTGTACTTACCAATGACCCAACATTGCACAATATTAGCATAATATTTTTCAAATTTAGAATTATATTTAGTCAGATTACAGTTTTTAAATTGAGCTCACTGGAATAAATAGAGCATTGACAGTTTATGGTTTTTGATATACACAGCTAAGATGTTTTCCAGGAGGGAAAATTTGAAAGAGCCAGATTAGAAGAATCTAAAAGGGTAACAGTATTCAGTTAGGGCCAACAACAAGGAAGGAGAATGCTGGTTTCATCACACCCCTGCTACAGGTGGGCATTTTTTACAGCTAGAGTTCAGTGAGTAGGGGGAAGAGACCGTGTTTATTTTAGTTTGAGTTTTTGTGATTAACAGGCTTTTATTCCTTTTATAATTTTTTCCTTGTAAGTTATTCAGTCTTATCTTTCATTTATCTGGTCTTAGTGATTTGTAAAAATGCTTCATAATAAAAATACCAATTCATCTTCGATGTAAATATTTCCTTAGACTTCTCTTTGCCTATTTATTTTATTTCTGAATGTTTTTCTTTAGCTGATTCTCTTGATCATTTATCTTTTTAAAATAAATAACCATTTAATTCTTTTCTTTTACTGTTCTATATACATAATTTGCTGTTATTTAGCATGGGTTAAAGTAGGGTTTTATTTAAAAGTACTTACTAGTTATCTCCAACCCACTTGTGAAATGTTTCATTTTCCCCTCCATTTTTGTGGTACTCTTTTTTTTATATATGTCTAGTTATTATTACCTGTACAATTTAATTCTTGGTCCAGTGTATTATTTTAATTAATGCTTTATAGGGCTAGTATTTTCATCAAGCCTCTTCTCCAAGTTGCTGTCCACTCAGGATTCTCATTTAATCTCATTCATGTTTTCCCTCATATTTAGACTTTTTGACAAGGCTCCTTTAAAATTCTCTAGAGATTTTCATTACATTTTGTTATATCGGTAACATGTAAAAACATCGGCTTTCTTTACACTGCAAATTCTTTTTAGGAAGGAAATTTAACTTCTTTATGTTTTTTATCAGATTGGGATTGCACTTAAGTTTGGTTTAATATATATTAATTTAATTTGTCTGCATGATTTTTTTAATGAATCTTTTCCTTCCCTCACAGAGTGGGTTCAGATGGCTCCAACTCTATTTTCTAAATTTATTCCAAATATTCTCCCTCCGGCGGTGGAATCTGAACTTTCTGAATATGCTGCTCAAGATCAGAAACTTCAAAGAGAACTTATACAGAATGGTTTTATGAGGCAAGTTTTTTCCTTTCATAACAAAATATTCCTTTCCTTAGGCCAGTTTGGCTTGGCAGGGGAGGGATGCCAAGGTTTTTAGATAGAAATAACTGAGCAAGAGTCAGGGTGCTCTTCCTGGAGAGGTCGGCTATGTAGCTCACTGTGGAATGTTGAGGCTGGGTTTCGATTTTATGGAACCTGTGCTTCACTAAGGGATTTTGAAGAATGAATTTCTCATCCGGTGGGCAGCTTCCAAAAGCTCTTCCAATTTTGATCCTCTCATATTCTGAACATTTGGAGAAGTATTGTAGAAATTGTATGATCAGTTATAAGGTACTTTTGTGATTAAACTATTATAAAGAGGTTTTAGATTCTGTTTTTCATATTTTCACTTCTGCCCCAAATTCTAGTTGTTTCTTCTTAAAAAGTAGAGTATCTCTTTAATGTGGCCAGAAAGTTTACCACCCTTAGTTTTGACATACACACTTTGCTAATTTTTCTAAAATTAATAATTCAGTATCATACCTGTAACCAGAAAATCTTACAGGGTGCATTTTTTCGACTGAAATAAATGATATAAAAGCTTCTGATTCCCTCTGGGAAAATACCCAGTTATGTCACCAAATCATTGAAGGGTACATAATACCTTGTATTTTCATACTCCTTGCTCTGCACTTACGTGTTTACGTACCCTCACTTATTTGGCTCCATGGCATAAGAGGAAGAACGTTGTGGAAAGGAAGACACCTGTTTTCTCATGAGGAATAGTTGTGACCACAAGTAGTATGTTGATCATTGACTCATTTGTTTCGCTAGGACTGGGGATAGACATTCATTTTCATAGGTTCTGAGGCCAAATTAAATCTCAGAATATTGGTCTTGACCAAGATCACTGTTACCAAGTCTCTAGTTTCAGCACAGGTTAGGAAATGAAGAGATTGTTTGGCTCATGGATTGGCATTTTTTTCCGATTTTGTCCTTGTGGCATTTATGTTCATATGGTAGTAGGGGCACTGAGTAATCCATTGGTCACTTACCCTAATCACTATCAGTTCACACGAGAAAGGCTCAGTTCAGCTGTGTGGGTAGATAGACCTCTAAACCTGACTTTCTTGTAGAAAGGGAAGGAGAGGCCAGTGGGAAATGGTAGAATGTAAACAGCTAGTTTTTTTCTCTGATGTCCAGTGGTCATGTTTCCTGACATTAACTGTAATATTTCTAACAGTATTATTTTCATACACAGAATGAGGCCATTTAATGCCATAGTAGTTTTACTTATTCATGTTTGAAGAGCTAATATATTTGTGTGGTTCAAAAATCAAAATGATATACATTAAGAATAAAAAATATACACTGAGAAGTTTTTTTCCCGCCTATTTCCCCATATACTTGCCATCCCATTAGGTAACCATTTTTATTTCGGTTTCTTATTATTCCTTCTAGTGTTTTTCTTAATATACAGATACAAGCAAATACACTATATATGTTCTTACTTTTATTCATTTCTTACACAATCTGTTGTGTAGGTATACTACAATTTATATAACCAGTTCCCCGTAGATGGCAAATTGAATTATTTCCAGTCTTTTGCTGTTACAGAGAATGCTGGCATGAATAGCCTTGTTCATGCATACCTGTTACAGGTATATCTGGAGAATAAATTCCCATAAGTGGGAGTGCTGGGTCAAGAGTAAATGCAGTTGTGATTTTGATTAATATTGCCAAATTGCCCTCCGTAGGGGATTATACCATTTTGCGTATGAACCTGCGGAGTTTGGTGTCCCTGTTCTTCGTAGCCTTGCATGTGGAGCATGTTGTTAGACTTTTGGATTTTTGCCAGCAGGTGAAAAATAATTACTCAGAGTTGGTTTAATTTGCATTTCTTGTTATGAGTGAGGCTGAGCATATTTTCATGTTTCATCTTTTTCTGTAAACTGCCTATTCATTGTTCTTTACTCATTTTTCTGTTTGATTGTTTATTTCCTCCTTAGTTTCAAGGTACTCTTTCTGTAGTGAAGAGATTGATTTTTTGCCTGAGATAAGACAGTTATTTTTTTGTTTGTTTTTCTTTTAATTTTGCTTATGTTGTTGGTTTTTCTTTTTAATTTAAGTCATATCGAAGTTTTATTTTACTTTTTGTGTAACTTTATCAGGTTTTGTCATTTTCTGGCTCATGTGTTTTGAATTATAGTTAAAATTTTTTCTTACTTATTTTAAAGTAAATGCAGAATAATCCGAGTATACCTTTTAGTTTCGGGGGGGGTATCATTTTGAAGTATTTTATACTTTAATTAATGCTTAATTTGAATGTTTGCTTTTAATTTTAGAGATGAACTTATTGGTATCTTTAAAAAACAGCCTTCTGAAAACTTTTATCTCTGTGAAGCAGTTTAGGAAGTTACGTCTTGTAGATTTCTCTGGACACCTTAAATTCACTTTTCTGAGCAGTGTGGGCAACTATTTAAACATATCCAGAGACATTCCTAACTCTAATTTTGGAGCTGGAATAAGACAGCAGGGTGCGGGACTGCTTGGTGTATAGTAGCTCTAATGTAAAATTTGCTTGGGATGAGTAACTGACTTCATAAATAGCTTCATGTAACATTACCTTGTACGTGAACTAACATGACATGTTCTGTCAAGGCCAGGTTGGTCATATTCAGGGAACTGCCTTGGTGTTTTGGTGTAAATTGGATTTTTTTGTTTATCTTAGTGGAATTCTTTTATACATCTTCTGCCTGAAATTTAAATGTTAGTATTCCAAGAGATGATAAAATTAAAATGTTTCATTTTACAAACTGAATTGGGCCATTGCTAGACTTAAGTTGTCAATTTATTACACATTTACTGTAAGCATTAATGTCTGCCTCATAGAGTATTCTGATGAGTCCTTAGCATAGAGTAGGCCCTGGCCAAACTGACATTCTTAGACTCACTCTGCCCCCTGCCTAGCTGGCTCAGCCCGGGCAGAAAGGTTTGTGACACCGTATAGGGAGCCTCTGGGAGAAAGTCTCCTGTGCTCCCCGCTCTTCTTGTCCCACGTTCCGCCCTGCCAACGTGGATGCCTTCCTTGCTCAATATTTAGCCAGAATGGTTTTAAAAGAAATGGTGTCCACTGATGTTAAAAAAAATTGACAGGCTATCTAATAAGAATTCTGTTACTGGCTATTCTGATAGAGCAGTCATTTTATAGTTTATGCCTAACCAACCACATGATTCCTGTTCAGCTTTGCAAACTATTTTTTCATTTAAGATTATGTTCCACTTACATGATGTACGAAGTCCTGAATAGGCATTACACAGCTTTAATGTGGATGGCACAGAGTAAGTCTTTGAAATATTTTGATATAATGTGTGAATGTTGTCAAATATATCCTGTTTTGCATTTAATGGACAGATTCTCATTTGAGCTAGAGTTTATGTGAAAGATCTTTAGGTGCATGGAAATGCAACGTGGACTTGTTTCAAAGCTAGAATTAACGTATAAGCTAAGAGCAACATTTTCTTTTTATCTGTTACCTGCATAATTAAATTGGTTATTGTCAGGGAAGGCAAGTTGGTGTCTGTTGTTGTCAAAGATTGCGTTATGGAAGATAAGCTCATTTGGGAACTTCTAAGATGCATGCCCTGTGATGGAGCATCTCATGCAAACCAGCCTGTGATCCTCTTCAAAGTGGGCACCAAATAGCGTTTCAGGGCAAATAAAATGTTCTGAGTAACTGGTACCTGGATTTCTGAAACCAAATAGAACCTTGTAGGGTAGGGGTATTGTTGGTGTTTTAGCTGAGAGTCTTACTATAGATTGGGGCTTTTCCATTTAGTAGCAGGGGTCTGGTTTGGAGCGCAGCGCATAGCTGTCCCTACTGGTCGCACTAGGTCATATCTTGGGCAGCCTTTCACATGCGCCGCGTTCACATTCTACTTCTCTTCTGTGGCTCTCGCACTGTGTTTTTCTCCTGCTATTTTTTGCATTTGGGGTTGGGAATAAATACTGTCTGTAGAAGTTGAGGCTCCAGGTATAAAATTCTCCCTTTTCCTATTGGTCAGCATTAACTTGTTTGTTTCAGAATATTTGGTGAATGCTGCTGTGATGATACTAGTGTAAATAGTAATAATGTAAGATGCTCAGCTGGCTTGGCCTAGGTATAGTGTTCACAATGGAGATGTTTAAAAGTGGCATTAGGACGTCTGTTCAGAGTTCTTTAAGCTTCCTATGGCTAATCATGCTAAACATTGTGCATATTTTTTTCTAACTGCTCAGATGAGAGAAAAATCCTTCAGAGCCATTTCGTGTGTTCTTTCTGCCAGTCATTAAGACTCCTCACCCAGTCCAGCAAGAAGTTTCTTTCCTCGTCTTGAGCAAAACCAGAGAAGGAAAGTGGGAAATTTTGGTAATCTGGAAGACTATTCAAGAGCAGAAAATAATTACTTGAGCTAGCATTTTAATCACCTGTACAGGCCATTTATAAATTATTCACTAATTTGTTAATTTAGCACATACTTGTTTTCTACTATGTGCTAGACACTATTTTAGGTACTGGGTGAACAAGGCAGCAAAACTCTGGTTTTTATGGCGCTTGTGCTTGAGTGTAGGGAGAGAAATAATAAACATGTACACCGTTTATTTAAAATAATAATGTGTTATGAAGAAAATGAAACAGTGTGAGATGGAGATGAGTCAGGGCATGTGTGAGGGGCTAGTCCAACTCACTTGGTAATGGCGTGCCTTCCGAGGAAGAGACGTTCCAGCTAGGAGTCCGTGAGGGGGTAGCCGCCGGCTGACGCGGGGAGAGCCTTGCAGGCAGAGAAAGTAGTAAGCACAAAGTGCTAACGTGTCCAAGGGGCAGAGAGCAAGCCCGAGTGGCTGAAACATAGTGAACAGAGGTAGGTAAAGGAGGATGGAGGGGTCGACAGGAGCCAGATCTCACCAGACTGGGAAAATGAATTTGAATTGACTTTTAACTATAATGGAAACCCACTGAGGGGCTTTAATCAGAAGCATGATATAAGCGTATTTATGCTTTTACATAAGATCACTCTGGCTCTTATCCGAACTGATAGTAAGACTCTTGCAGTTGTGTAGGGGATGATAGTGTCTTGGATTGGGGTTGTTGCTGTGGAGTGGGTGAGGGGTGATTTATTTTGGATACTGTTTTGGGGTAAAATGTTCCAGAGTGAGGGAAAGAAAGGACTCAAAGACGAGCTAGGATTCTGGCCTGAGGAATGGGGTGGATAATCATTTACTAAAGAAGGCTGAGGAAGGAGTGGGGGTGGTGTGGAGTCAGCCTTGTTTGTTCTCGCCATTCTACGTGGGCGATATGTATAAATTATCCAGCGGCAATGGTGAGGAGGCAGTTGGGTCTGTGTCTAAAGTGCGGCATGTCAGAGCTGGAGAGAGAAGTCTGGGACCCACTGGCGTATAGGTAGTATTTCAAGTCATAGAACTGGTATGATTGTTGTTCTAGATGAAGAATAATATATAAGGAAAAGAAACGTGGCCAAGGATAGAGTGTTGGCTGGAGTCAAAAGCTAGTGAACTAGTCGTTATTACTCTTTGCTTTGGCATTTTAGTCATTTGAATTATTGTCTGAGAAACTAAAGAGACAAAAATATGACTTATGGTAGCATAAGACCTAATCAGCTCTGTGTTCTAATCTCTAAAGTGGAACTAAAACTTCTGTGGTATTTGAAAAATGAACTGGTTAATGTATGTGAAGGTTCATGTTCTTCTACCTGCAAGGAGGGTGTTTATATTCGTTCTTAATGAGATTCTGAGATTTTTCAAAAGCAAGGGTTTTTAGGGTAAGATTTTGAATTATCTTCTCTATTTCATATTTGAAATTTGCCCTAGTATAAGGTCACTAGGGATGTTGTTAGCAGAACCCAGGTTAGTCTTCAAAGACATTTTAGTCTGAATGTATTTCTAGAACTCAGTATAAACCATCTTTGTAGATAATCTCTCCTTCATTTAATAGCTTTCTATATTTAAAAGACAGCATCCTTTAGCTAAGAATATTCTGTTTATAAATGACTCAGTTACTGTTTAAGTTTAATGTCTATTTTAAAATAGGTTTTTGGGTTAGAATTTCAGTGTCTGCTGTACTTCATTATCAATGATATCAGTCCGTTTCTCCTGTTGGTATGTGAAGATGTCCATGTCAGTCAGTTCTGTTGATTCATTCTTCCTTTTTTAATCTCCAGAGGTGACCAGTCCCGGAAGAGAGCTGGGGATGAGTTGGCTTATAGTAAGTAACAATGTTTCTTACTGTCTTTGATGGTTCTGTGAGGTGAGGTAGCCACTGGCAGTGAACGTGCAGTGAGTATAACAGTGCCCGTCGTGTTCTGATGTCGGGCTCACTGGGCCCGTGTGTGATCGAGGACCGACTATTCTGCAAGCAGTGGCTGCTCTGCGTCCAGTTGGTGGTGGTGGGTCTCAGGTAGTTGTCAAGAGGCTGCCAGATCGACTCTCTAGTTGCCTCGGTTTCTGACGATCTAACCCCCTTTCACTCCACTCAGAACCACTTAAAAAAAAAAAATCTCCTTTTGGGTGATTGGGAGGGGGGTGAGAAACACTGTTGAATAGTCAGATTCCTACCATTATCAAATGTTGTCTGCTATTCATACTTCTTCCTGTTCGATGATTTTTTTTCAGACAGCTCATCAGCATGTGCGAGTTCCAGAGGGTACAGATAGTGACTGTGTTGAATGTACTTTCCTTCCTGCCACAAGGACACACTGGAGCTGCAGAGACTGTATTCAGAGCACAGTGGGTCCTGCACTCAGGCGCTCTGTCACAAAGCTGTTCTCGGAAGAGGATGTCGGACTTCTTTCTTTGATTTGTAATTTAAAAAAACAAAAAACTAACAAACAAAAAAAACAACCTGTCAGTTGCTGCTAGACTTGGGGATGATTTTGAAATGGGACAACCTTTTCATGAATCCATCTTTAGATTCTGTGCGGAACAGGCATCTTGAAAAGTGACCGTTGCTAAGTGAAATCCAGCAGCCCAAATCAGCAGCTTCTTGCAAAAAATACAAGAGCAGAGGAATTTTTTAAGCACTGTTTTATTCACTTGTGGACTTGGCACTCAGCATATTGGTTTCACACATCAAGATACCTTTTGCTTTAAAATCAAGCAGATCATTACAATACAGTATTTTTCACCCATATCCAAAACAAACCCCTTTCAAAGAGTTGGTCTTTGTTTAGCATTAGAAAGTCTTGTGAAAGGAAAATGCTAACTCTGCTTTTGCTATACCTTTCCCCCTATTAATTCAGAACTTTTTTCTACTCTGTGCCTTGAGCTTTGTGCACTTTGCAACTCTGTGACCATGTTGTCAAACTCACAAATGCTTTCTGAAAAAGATTGTGGTGTCATGGACTAAGCCGCCAAGATGTCAGGTGTGACTTCATAGCAGGATGCTGAATGAGTAGGAAAACAGAAACTTGTTGCACATTGGTCAGATTTCCCTCCCCTCACCATGGCATATTCATGTTAATGTTGGGGACCAACTCTTGTAGGACATTTCCATTTCCTCTAGTATTTAATATGATTGCACCAGCTGCTGTGGTATTGGTATCATGCTAGTTCAGGTGTGGCCAGTACTTCAGCAGTTAAGCTCCCCTTTCAAATGTTGGGAATCATCCCACAGGAAAAGCTGGCTCCTGTGATGCTCTAGGAAGCAGATATGGTTATTAAATCCAAATATAATCAATGGTGTGGGATTCCTGATCCATTTCATTTTAAATGGATAAATACTTTAAAAAACAATCTGCAGTCTGCATCTTTTAAACATTGTATTTGAGTCTAAGAAGCAGCACCGCTATTTGAAGGCCCCCTTCCAGCTGCAGCAAAGCTGTGTTTTGTTTTTCCACACCCACAGTGCTATTTAGTTCCTGATTAGATTCCGAAGCTCATTCTAGTTGTTCTTGAAAGGCAAAGAAAAATAGAAAATTTTTTTTTCCTCAGTTCTATTTGACTCTAAATTGAGCATTATGCTTGAGTCTGTTAGCTATGTTGGACTAATATTAACCTCTTCAGAGAACTTGGAGCAGAAAAAGAAGGCATTAGAGGTACTGTCACATTTCTGATTTGCAGGGTTTTTTTTAAAATAAGAGTTGCCTCTGCCAATTCAGCTTCTCCGTCTTTGGGGAGTTGGTGAATGGGAGAGTTAGAAGTGTGATCTTGGGAGCAAGTAAGTCATCTAATGGAAGTCCTCTGTTGTAAAGTTACTATTCAGAGAAGTAAAGTAAAGGTTGTCAGATTTATTTTTTTAAGTACTTACCAACCAGAGTTGCTAGATTTTGTGGAGGACTTGAGTTAGACTCATTAACTCCATGAGTATCTTGGACTGTATTGATAAACATTGAATTGCTGTAAGAATATATATGGGCTTTTACTATGCCCTGTATAGTTTGATTTGCTGCACCAGTAACAATCTAGTATCAAGGAAAATTCCATTTTACCATGAAGGCCAAATTTTACTTTTTTCAGTGGAATGCTTGCTGCAGGCTTATAAATAACACCTGCAACTAAAGTCTCTCCTGAGTAGTTTTAATAATATTTCTGCAAGGAATAAAATTGGAATATTTTTTTTTAAATGTGGATGAATTCTTCAGTAATTTAATAATATACCCAAATGCTTTTTCTGGGAGAGACTATTGTTTGTCCAACAACAGAACTTTCCCTATAAAAGCATTATATTATAATATGAATTGGCATTAAAATCTTTGGATGTTTTTGCATTATTAAGTTAATGGAGAAATATTTTATATTGTCCTCTCTTTATTATTATAATATATGTGAAAACAAAAATTGGGTAAAGTCTGCAAAGTTTCGTTTCTCTAAGTTTTGTGCAGTGACCGTAGCCAGCTCTGGGTCAGGCCTGGTATGCAGAACTGTGATGGAGGTGCTGCTGTGGGAGGGGCCACACGTTCTCCTGATGCATGTGACTTGTTGTCACTCATTTTTACCACTGAGGTGCGTGGCAGTATGAAGAACCTGTTTCTTTATTTTAAGCCAAAGTTGACCTTGCTTATTTAATTGGGATTCTTTAACAAAAATTTATTTTCTGTATTGATTTTAGAGAGAAAGGAAAGGAGAGGGAGAGAGATAGTAAAATCAATGAGAGAGAATATGGATTGGCCATCTCCTGCATGCCCCCTACTGGGGATCAGGCCCACAACCTGGGATGTGCCCTGACTGGGAATCGAACCTGTGACCCCCTGGTGCACGGGTCAATGCTCAACCACCGAGCCACATTGGCCGGGCTTAATTGGGATTCTTAACTAAATTCTTAGTTTGCAACATGAGAAGAAATAAGATTTGTCCTCCATTTTGTTTTGATGAAGTACTGTTTGCCAGAAAGTATTTTCTCATTTTTACCTGTATTTTCGCCAGGACAGTATATAATTTCATCACCCCAGTTAACTATTGGCTTTTGTGGGGCCCAAGTCAGACAATTGTACGTGCAGGTCGATTGTGTCATTAGTCAACACACAGTTGATTCGGCTGAACTGTGAGGGTGTACGGGCAGCCTGAATCTAGACCCTCCAAGAGAAAGGCAGTTCAGTCACCTTGACGACGTGCATGTAGAAGTACAAAGAGATGGTAATGGTTTTGAGAGATGGTACTTACTTTAAAGTTTGGCCTGAAATCTTCAGTAACAGTGTCATTTTAATGCCCTCTGTTGTCACAGCTGCACCCTAGCCCAACAATTATTTTGCTTTCTGTGGGGCAGAAAGCAAACCTGTAGAGGTCTTAGGTGGAGTTAGTGAGAAGAAACACCAGCCTGTATGCAGGAGTTGTACTTCATTACATTTTACACTTTTTCCTGTCCCTTTTACAAGTTTGAGGCAGCTTCCCTCTGTTTCTTTGGGGTACGGGATGAAAACTGATCTGTAAGAGATTGCAGAAGAATGGATGCCCAAGGCCATTAACACTGCACGTGTGTCCCCAGAACTGCAGCCCCATAAAGCTGCAGGTCCCCTTGCTACCTGCTTTGTCGGGTTGCAGATTTGCACACATAAAGGATTCCTCAGGAAGAGTTTGCACATACATCACCTCGCAATATTCTATACTGACTGAACAGGGATTTGAAGGTCCTTCAGCACAAAGAGAGCTTCAGAGTGGCGGTCTGTGCGCACGCGCTAGCAGAGGTGATGGTGATCTAGTGGACACGATGGGTCTGCAGGTATGAAGTGAGCAGGAGCTCTTGTACCATAGTCTTTAATAAGCCTGTTTACTCTCCCAGAGTAACCTTCCAGATTTATCAACTTCTTATTGAGGCTGGCTGTATTTCCTTCTGTGTTTTTTCTGTTTTATCATAATTATTTTCATGATTATCATGCAAGAGTTAATTGCCCTTAAGCCAAAAGACAGTTGTTTAATAAGCAGCTATTATTAAAATAACTGAACATTGTTTTAGGAATGTACATTTACCTGAGATATTAAAAAAACTTTACAACTAAAAACCAACACAAAATAACTTACATTAGCTATCCAGTCATTGTTTGGATGTTTTCAGTTTTTTGTTTTTTTTTTATAGTGTCTCATTGAGTTTCAGAGTATTATGTTTACTTTACTCCAGGTCTAGGCCTCTTAAGGGGACTTTGAAATTTAAGATCAGAATGTGAATTCCTTGACTGACACCTACACGAGGTTTGTAGGACCTCTTTGGTTGTGATTACTGTTTTCAGTGTGATTGCATAAGATGAAGTTTATGTTTATCAGGAGTTAAAAGAGAGGTCATAGTAGTTCATGGAGAAATAGCTTTCTGGTTTTTTTATTATCTTGTTGAAATTTGTCCCAGTTTCTGGCCACCAGATACAGGGTGGGGCAAAAGTAGGTTTACAGTTGTTCGTATGGCACATGCTACAATAGTTAATAAATAATAAAAGAATAAACTCTGTTTTGCATACTCACAACTTAAACCTATTTTGCTCCACCCTTTGTGTGAAAGGACCCCTCTTATTTTCCAAGGAAAATGATTCCTCTTCTGTTGCCACTGTTTAAGTAAGTCATTGACATTTCCCCTCCTCCACTGCCCAAGACCCCGTTTGGAACCTCTTCCCACAGCCGAGGGGCACAAGTACATACACTGTTTTTGGTTATATTGATGGAGTGGCTGCAGGGGAATTAAAGAACATGCTAATCAGAAATACATTCTCATAAGACCCTAATATATATTGTACCCCTGTGGTTGGAAATTAGCTTCATTTTGGTTGGACTGGATTGCTGAGGAAAATGTTAATGGCTTACAATTCTGGTAAATTTATAGTGTGGCTCTGAGGCGAATTCTGTGGTTTGAAAAGAATAAATATTTTGTATTGATTCCCACATGTCATTTTAATGTTGTGACTGTACTAAATGCAATAAGACTGTGGATATTCTCTTAGAAGGAGTATGTTTTGTTAAACAGATGGCAGTTTAATTGCTCTCATTAGTCCCGTTTGTCAATACTACAGCCGTGCGATCCAGGGGAAATCATTCACATGTGAAGTTGTGGGGAGCGAAGGCTGGAAACCGGAATGCTCACGATGAATGAAGGTCAAGGCACACAGGAGGCTCTGCCGCCGACCCGCGCACCAGAGCAAGGGTGAAGCAGTGGAATCTCGTCCCCAGCGGTGCTTGTTGGAAAGCATGGTGGCGCCTGGAACAAGGTGTCCTGTACATTTGCTCCTGTATGAATCCAAGCAAACAAAATGGCGGATGAAGCTCTATTGACTGGGGATTCAAAGCCACCGACTTTGGTTCTGACCTTTAACTCTTGGTGGCTTTGAATCAGTCCTTCTGTGTTAGGGTATAAGCTATCACTCTAAATCATTGTGGTTAATGAAATAAATCTTGTAC